CCTTTAATAAGCATTAGAACCTTGGGGACGTGATGGCAGGCCTAGGGGGCGGCTTCGGCCTCACCAGCCACCTGCGCCCGATCCAGTCTCCGGTTTTCCTGACTTGACACCAGACATGGGTGGGTTAGTGGAACAGAGAGTGAGACAGATGAAACGCAAGTCTACTTTCACTACACTCCAGCATAAGTCACCGTCCTTACATCACGCTGCTGTAGAGCATGCGCTGGACATAATCGAAACGGTCGACGGTCGAACTGTCGTGTGACTGTCATAAACCGCCTGGTCACAGCGTAAACTCGACAAGAATTTAACACAGCATGCGGTTGTGGGCGGCAGGTTGGTAGCCAGATCACGCACAGCCTCCGCGTCACAAACCTACTCACCTGGTCACAGCCTACACTTGGCTGACAGTTCAAGCGTCGTGTTCGACGGCTTCCACCACATGCTCCGCAGCAGGGATGGCGATTCACGTGAATTAGACCTTGCGCTGCATCTACCGCACTCCCTCTCTTCCCTCACCAGCCCGTGCCCGGTGTCTTCACAGAGTCAAAAAGAGCAGAGGCGGGGTCGGGCGCATGCAGCCGACAAGGCAAAAGCCTCATCTAACCCTACCTACGTTCAGAAAACGCCTTCCCTTCATTCTCGGGAATAATAAGAAAGTCGCGGTGGTCTAGGTTGGGCTAGCACGGTGGGTGAGAAACCGGTTTTCGCCGGAAACTGGGTGATTTAAAAGGCTGTGGGCAGGCGCCTCGTAATGATGCAACAGCCAGTTGCTCGATGGCCAAAATTCAGGTCACTACTCTTTTCCCGGTCTCACGCAGTCGCTTCGGCACTCGCGAATAGGAATGCTGATTCAAACTGGTGCTTTGAGGAACAAATTCATCGTAAAAGATGCGTTTAATGTCGAAAAGTAAACCATAATAAACTTCAAATTTGGCTTTCTGCACGCTAAGGGGCGACCCGCACGGGACTCATCTTCACGATGCGCTTCACTATTTCTGAACAGGGCTACCCCGCATGGCTTAGAGTGTACCTTTCATAAGCATTAGAACGGTTACTGTCACTGTTTTCTTCCCAAGAAAACAAGCTTTGATGTTGGCGCATCGCGCCTTAATGTTTGTTATTGCAGACTCGCCGAAATCGTTGGGAGGAGAGGGTGGGGGTCAGTTAAACAAGTACTCTGTCCGCTATAGTAGTTTTCATGAACGCTACTTAACCAACTGAGTAGAGTCTATAGTAAGCGTAACTTGCAGGAGAGGGCAGAAGCACCAAGCCACTTGTCTACAGGAAATAATTCGACTTTTTAAGACACCCCATCGTATTCTGACTCGCAAGTATGACAGTTCGACCGTCGGTTTTGGTGATATCCACTACGCGCTTCAGCAAGCTGAATATAAACGCGGTGGCTTGTGCGCGGATTAATTTTAAGTGATATTAGACTTGCGTTGTATCTACGGCACTCTTTCCTTATCCACGTGTACCCAGTGATGTCCTGAGAGAGTGAAGAAGACCAGAGGAGGAATCGGGAGCGGTCGAAGCCGCCCCTATGCGTGTAACCACGCCCCCATTATGCTCGGCCTCCGTTATCGGCGCGCAACCGGAATAATGACTGTTGTGCCCTGATCTGGCCTCGCAATCTCTTCCCTCAACTACTTGTGCCCTCTGTGATCCGATCTGCGGTGTCGGAAGCAAATGACCGACACGGCAAAATCCGTACCCAAGCTCACCACGACGATACTCGGTCCATAACAAACACCGGACCATAGTTTAAACGCGATAGTAAAAGGATGGCAGCGACGGCAGGGATTCCAGTTCACACAGCCTGGGTCTCCGTGCCACACGCCTCACTACGCACACAGCCTCGTAAGAGCCTACACTTGGCCACAATTATTCACAGCAATTAACAGCACAGTGGTTCAGAGCCGACGTCTCACAGTTTGTCGACCACACCTAGCCTATGTTATTGGGTCACACAGCGTAAACTTTTCCAGAATT